CTAACACTTCTAAAATAGGATTTAAAACTAAATTGTAATAATTAATGGTTCCATGTGTTTTATTTTTTTTATTAGTGTATTTTAAAAAATATGTAGCTCTACTTTGAGATAAATACTATAAAAACCATTAAAATCTCAGGTGTTAGGCTTTACATTTTTTTTCTAGTTTTTACAGCACTAGTGGCTCGTTTTTCTGACAGTAGGCTGACAGGAAATGGAGTCTGAGAGAGGGGGAAAGAGATGCGACTAAGGACCACAGGTTGGATTCAAACCCGGGTCCATACATGGGTCGTGTGCACTAACCACTGCGCCACCTGCACACCCAGCTTTACGTTTTTCAGAGAAGGGGGCATTGATGTCACTAGCTTTAAGGCTAAAGGAAATTATTTCAAATTAGAAGCAAAAATAAATAAAGTAGAGGATGATGTTTATCACTCAGCATCTCTAGATTTTCATCAAAATACTCTTGTTGAAAGCAGAAAGAGTTTAAAAGACTATTCAACAATGTCATAAAAAAGTATAAGTAAAAGTAAAAGTAAAGTAAAAGTAAAGTAAAAGTAATTATTAATAACCAAACTAAAGAAATTACAGAAATGACAAAGGCATTTACAGAGGCAGTTACAGGAATAACAGAGGCAGAGTAACTTATGAAATTACAGGAACATTTTCATTAATTAGGATCTTTATATAGTTAGCAAAAAAACTCCTCTTAATAGCACCTCACAATGAAATAAAACATGCAGCGAACATACTGCATTTTAATCAGAAATTTTATGAGCAAGAGACAGATTCTGGTAAAGTGCTGGCATGGTGAATTAAATGGCTGCATGATGAAAGACTAATTATCTCATTACAAACATCATTAATGAAAAGAGTAGGGATCCATTATAGCTCAGAAATAATATTTTTATGATAACATTAAAATAAAATAAAAATTCACTACAATTATACCAATTTTTGGGTAACATTTGCATTTGAACAATCATTCATTGGAAAAAGATAACCAGGAGGGGAAACTCCAGACCTTGATGGGATACCCATTGAGGTTTACTCAACATTAAGATATAAGATTATGCTACTATTGTTACAAATGTTTAAGGAATGTTTTTCAGAGAAAAGCTTCTAGCCAGAAGAGCGTTCATCCATTTTTATCTTTACACATGCTCTGCTTTCTTTATGCTTAAGAGCATTAATTATGGAATACATTATGGAATTCTGATGATAAATGTTATTGGAGATTACGGAAAGCTATGGACAAAGGAAGATAAAAATCTCCAGTGGTTCTAGTTGGATTTGCACAAATCTTGATGACTTGCAAGGTTTGAGAATAATTACAAGACTGTTCAGAAATAATAGGACAGCAGTAGCAGCTAAAATAACCATTCATTAAAGCTAATGTATGCAGAACATGTCACTAAAAACACATCAGGCCAACCCTTTCAGTGAATACCTGGTAATGTACAGAAATTATGTTGCAATTTACTGGTAACAGAAACCAATTAAGGTGCTTTACACATTCACCTGTTGGCAATTACAAACGAGCACATAACCCCATAAGGAAATTGGTTGGCTGCGTTCTACCTATCAATGAGTAGTTAAAAGTTATTTATGTCATGTGACAGGGTGATATTAAAACCAAACCCATAACTTTCACTTCTAATTGGTACACTACCTAATCTAAACCTAAACTGTCACAGCTGAGCTACAACAGCACGAAAAACAACAACCTAAAATGATCAAACTACATTAACCCAAGCAACCAGGAAGGTTCCATTCTGACTTCAGCAAAATAAAAGTTCTTTATTGTTTTTTTCCCCTTTGGAATCTGCATGTGTTTTTAATAAAGTGATGGAAGTCATAAATAGTTTTAACACATCCCTGATGTTGATGAAGGGTGTTAAGAATTATTTGCATTAATACTCTCTTTAATATTTTCCATATTAAAACTAGGATCTGATTTTAAAATCAAATTGTCTTCAGTTGATTAACCTATCAGTCCTTCACTTGATGTAGCATTTGAACCTATCCCAATACAATCAAATATTCCATAGAATAAAATTTAATGTTTTACATTTAAAAAGCTTTAATCATACAGTTTTAAAGACAGAAAAGTAAGGAAATTATAATTGTATTATATGATTAAGAAACCTTAACAAGACTGAGTGTTATAATTTTTTCAATGTGAATTCCAATTAGTCTTAATCGGCATGTTTTGTTGTCTTCCTATTTAGCTGGGGAGCGTGTCCTCCTCTGTTTTTTTTTTTTATTCATCATCTTTATTAGTTTAACACAGTTCCTTTTTTTATCTCTCTCATACAATCTTTTTTTTTTTGTGCGTCGCCATAGTTTATATACTGATGCTCATCATAGCACCTTTATGGCAGCTTCCCCAACACATAATTACTCACCCAGCTACTGTAATTTTTTTGGGAAATTAGGAGCCTCCATTTTCCCAAATAGGAAAATTGTAAGAGACAGAGTTGGATATAAAATGCCAATAATGGCACACTACAGATATAACATATATTGTGTCCATGAATGAGTAACATCTTAAAACAGGATAAAAGGTTATCTAATTTACTGTGTTTTTCTAATTTCTTGATTTTGTACCAATAGTCTGAAATCAGAACATTTATTGTGAGTGAGTAAGTAAGGAATTTATGAAGTCTCGCACATAAAAATGAGCGCAAAAGACTGGGGATATCTTTTAACAACTGCAAAGTAGGTAGTTTTACAGGATGGCATGGCAACAAGCATATCTTTGTTGCACATGCTTTGGTGCACAGCATGCCAGAAAGTAGAGTGTGAGCTGTTATATAACCATCAACCTGGGACAGAAGAGTGGAGCAGGGAGCATAGGCAGTTAGAGATGTGTTTGTGCAACCCAAATTTCAAATATCAGCGTTTTTTTGTAAGTTACGAACAACCTACAGTAAATTAAAGTACTCAGTTATCTTTTGGCTTCCTAGATAATATGCAATTTTCCCTGTGGTTGGAGCAAACGTTTAATGCTGCATAAAGATGCCCTCTGTACCCCTTTAATTTGTTTCTTTCTCAAATTGTATTATGCTAACTTCTTCAATTTTGATAACATAAAAAGAATCACTTACTTTTTAAAATGTATTTGTTCGTCACACTGAGCTCCGAAAAAGTACTACAGTTACAATGGTGACCTCTAGAGGAGAGTAAAGCATTCCAAAAATATAAGACCTTAATGTATTATTGTGCACTATTACTTTAGAATTAGAAACATTTTTCAGCCCCCTTGAGTTAATACTTTGTAGCGCCACCTTAAGCTTTGGGGCATGTCTCTATCAGTTTTGCACATCAAGAGACTGCAATTTTTGCACATTCCTGTTTGCAAAACAGCTGGAGCTCAGTGAGGTCGGATGGAGAGTGTTTGAATAGCAGTTTTCAGTTCTTTCCAAACATTCTCAAGTAGATTCAGGTCTGGACTTTGACTTGGCTATTACTTGGCTATTCTAACACCTGGATATGTTTACTTATGAACAATTGCATTGTAGATTTGGCTTCATGTTTTGGATCATTTTCTTGTTGGAAGACAAATCTCCATCCCAGTCTCAGGTCTTTTGCAGACTCCAACAGGCTTTCTTCCAGAATGGTCCTTTATTTGGCTCCACCCATCTTCCTATCTTCCTTGTCCCTGTTGAGGAAACAGGCCTAAACCATGATGCTGCTACTCCCATGTTTTATAGTGGGTTGGCTTCTTCAGTGTGATTAGCTGTGTTGCTTTTAGACCAAATATAACATTTTGCAATGTGGAAAAAAAGTTTGATTTGGACCAGAGCCCAGATCATCTGACCAGAGCACCTTCTTCCACATGTTTGATGTGTCTCCCAGGTGGTTTGTGCAAAAAAAAAAAAAAAAAAAAAAAAAGACTTTTTATGATTATCTTTAAGAAATGGGTTTCTACCCTAAAGGCCAGATTTTTGTAGTATGACTGATTGTTATCCTATGGACAGAGTCCCCCAACTCAGCTGTAGATCTCTGCAGTTCATCCAGAGTGATCATGGTCATTTTATTTTTTTTTATTTGTTCTGAAGCTTTTCTAAGCTTCGTTTTTTCACTCTTGTGTCGACAGCATGATTTACCATACTATGATAGGTCTTTGGTCTTTTGTCTTTTATTTACAAACTCCCCTATACAGAACACCTTGATCACTGCTGCACTTTATGAAATGTTTTTTCGCTGCTAAGCTGCTGTTCATTTGCTGTCTGGAAGCTGTACAAAACAAAATGTTGTTTTGTATACACTGTGTGTATACAAAATGACAATAAACATCTTGTGGATTGTCATCAGAAATGAAACCAGCAGAGTAATAGTCAGGTTATGTTTTTTTAGAGGGTTATATATCTAATGCACCAACTCTCCAAACACACACCCACACGCACACACAAAAATAAATGCTGTACTGTATTTTTTGATGGGAAACTGAACCTATATAAGCCAGTTTTTTTAGGCAGCATAGCCAATGAATACAAACTTTACTTTGATAGTGTGACCCCACATGTTAAGTAGGAATACTTCATATAACTTTGACTGATGTACATCATCTTAGCATAAACTTACCAACAAAAACTGTCACAAATAGGGAGCAAATTTCAGGCAAACCAGACTTTCAGTCTATTTCTGCCCACATTCTACTTTAACCCCATGTTTCATAAAGAATTCCTGAATATATTGGTACTTGTTGGTACAAAATATTGGAACAGTCACTAGCATTCTGTAAAGTACTTATGCTTCTATTTTTTTTTTTATTTTTTTTTTTACATGTTTTGATATGAAAGCTTGACTTATCTAATATTAGAGTTTGCCAACAAAAAAAGATTTAAACAGAGCATTTCTGTTAAACATTTATTTTGTTGAATAACAGTTTAATGTCTTGTTTTTCCATCTCTTCTTTTTATCTCCCCATTGCCACCTTTCACTACATTTTTCTGTATCTCTGTCCTCATTTGACCTTCTCTGTGCACTTGCAGGACTACACATTGACAATGTACTTCCAGCAAGCCTGGCGAGACAAGCGACTGTCCTACTCCGAGATTCCACTCAATCTGACTTTAGATAACAGGGTGGCAGACCAGCTCTGGGTCCCTGACACCTACTTCCTCAATGACAAGAAGTCATTTGTTCATGGTGTCACTGTGAAAAATCGAATGATCCGACTGCATCCGGATGGCACTGTTTTGTACGGTCTAAGGTCAGATCTTAATCTTCTCTTATAGAATTTATTATCAGAGGTTGGTTATCTTAGTTCAGAAGTAGAAAGCCTGTACATAGATTACTTCCAACCATTTGCATTTCCAGCTCTACAACATTGATGAATGTTTAAAAGCTTGGTCTCAAACTCCAATCCTCAAGGGCCAGTGTCCTGCATCTTTTAGAAGCATCTCTGCTTCAGTACACCTTACTCCAATATGAACTCACTATCAGACCTCTGCAAAATTGATTCTGGTGTGAAGGGCAAGGGACCTATTTATAAGTTGCAGTACCCTGGGCCTTGAGAAGTTGGGTTTGTGACCACTGGTTTAAAATCACATGCTTAAGAGAACAAGATAAAAAAAAAAATGGCTGGGATTTTACCTTCTGAGGAAGGAATTAACCTGAACCTATTTTCTACCAAAATGTTTGGTTTTAATGTTATGTTTGCCTTTATTACACAAAGAATGTATCAGAAAAAATTAGTACTTTTGGTATGCTTGTAAATGATACTGAATCCAGATATAAAATTCATCTTTAACATAGCAAAGCTATAAAACTAAAAAAAAAAAAAAAAAAAAAACAACTAACATGGTAAGATAAACACAGATATACTGAAAACATACAAAATGAGAACCAAAACACTAAAAACCTAGGGGAAAAAAATCCATAAACTCCCATTGGAGGTTAAACACCAGTCACAACAAGTGAGTCAATGAGAAAAAAAAAAAAAACAAACAGCAAAGAAACTAGGTAGACAAGCGGGGACTTAAGATCATGGTACAATTGACATGAAGACCACTGCTGCTTCTGTTGCTGTGGACAATGGAAATCTTCCTGCGATGTGTAGGGATGGTGTTAGAAAAGCAGCAGCCAGAGGCACTAAGGCTGTGTCTGATCGTCCGCCCTAATCACTATACAGAGCACTAGTATTTTCCTTCGATTCAGAAATTTTCTCTCAAGGTTAAAAATGTTTCATGGGCGGGACTGTGTTTCTATCAGACAATCTCAACAGAATTTAAGTCTGAGTGTTGATATTGATAACAATATGAATAATAAATAATAATGTTTTTTGTAACTACACTCCTTTTTCAGCTAAAAATGTATCTAATTACTTTTACATGGTATTGTGTTTACATTACTTGCAATCTAATGCAGGGTGTTACTACAACTTAATCAATCAAATCAATTTTATAGAAGCAGAGACATGCAGGAAGCTGGGATACGCATATGTGGCACTGATTAGCTGAGTGGAGCTAGGATTCCCAGGACTATCTATTGGTACAGGAACAGACTGTTAGATCTTATTGATCTGTTTTTGAAAAGTGTTGAAAAAACTAATTATTAGTTTAGGTCTCACTAAAACAGTTTTTAATTTGGTCTTTTTTTCTGTTACAGATATAAAATAAAAATTGACAAGGTATTCTTGTTTCAGGTCATGAAATCAAAAAGATAACTCACATTATCATCTTATCAGCTGTCAAGACCCGTGATCACTTGGCATCATGGTTCCCATGCTCTGTACAACACAGATATTACAAATATTGCTTTGGATGTAGTGGGATTAGACTGGTTGAAGAAATCCATCATCCTTGACACTCAATAACATTTAAGAAGGATAACCAGAATTCCACAAATCCTTAACTGGTTCATATAATCAGTGAGAGCTCAAAACTTCAGAAAGCACGCACAAATAAGCTATTCCCTTAAAATCCTCTCCAAAAATATATAGGGGTTTAATTTATTATATAAATAAATGTTGAAACAAGAACAATGTTTGTTTTTGTGCCATAAGTTAGGCCCTCCCAGATTAAGCTGTATTTCCTAAGACTAATAAGTACTAAAAAAAAAAAGATTTGAAACAAAAATGGTTATAGAACTATATTCTGTCTGATGTTTTTACTCTTTTTTTTGTGTGGTTCTTTTACTCTCTTAGATTCCATACATCACAAACATAAATACCGTATTCATTATTAACACACAGAGAACAGCAGAGATGGCAAAAGTACTCGCTTTCCGTACTTGAGTAAAAGTAAAAAGTCGCCATAAAAATAAGTAGTAAAGTAAAGGAAAAATATCAGAAAAATCTACTTGAGTACAGTAACGAAGTATTTGTACTTCGTTACTTCCCATCTCTGGAGAACAGAAAATAATTAAACTATATTGTCATCCAGTTGGGAAATTCATGTCCCCCAGCAGCAAAATGAAACACAAATGGCAGCATGCAAACAAAGAGTAAAATCATAAATAAAAAAATTTAAAAAGCAGGAGACCATGCAGTAAAGGCACATCGGTATGCTAATTTATAAATAAAACACTGCAGTTATTAGTTCTTAAAAATAGTAAAAGTAGTATTCATTATTCAAATGAAATTAGTATTGAAAAAATAAAGAAGTTGTCATGATGGGTTCTCAAAGAGCGACCCAGATATGCAGAACACCACTGACGGACACAGGAATAAAAGTTTAACAAGTTTATTTTGGTACAAGCACACAGAATGTACTGGTTCTGGCTCGGGCCTGGGCACTGGTTCACCGGAGTCTGCGTGAGAGACAGTTCAGTTAGCGTTGCAAGCAGGAGCTTGATTTCTAGATGATAACTGATTGTACCTTGAGGGTTCTTGAGATTAGCTTTGGGAGAGTCACTGTTGGATCTGGAGAGGAGTTGATCAGCAGAATCCGCTTACTGCTTCAGCGTCTCACGTCTAATAATGAACAGACCTTGGCTTAGGGTTTTCCAGCTCTTAGTCCTGAGCTGCATGGAAGTCTCTATGGTTCTTCGGGTTTGGCTCAGAGGGTCGGCTCGGCAAGTTAGCTCTTCCAGAGCTTCTCAGAGGAGACACTGGATTTCTGGAAGAAAAAGGCACGGTTAGAATCCAGGCTGAATTCAAAGTCACAAAGTTACACAGAGAATCTAGGCTTAGGCGCTGACCAACTGGATCAACACTGCGGCGTTGAGGCAAGGTCTGAAGACAGCTTATATAGTGGATCCTCTGAAGATCTTGATGGGCTGCAGCTGTGCAGGAGGCTCACTCAGAAGGATCCACGGCGGACTCTGCTGGAGAGAGGTGGAACTTCTCCAGCTCCCAACAGTACCCCCCCCCTCAACGACCGCCCCTTGGCGGTCCGGAAGAGGTCGAAGGGCAGGAACGCTCGTACTCCTCGATAAGGGCAGGATCGAGGATGTGCGAGCCCGGAACCCACTGGCGATCCTCCGGTCCGTAGCCCTCCCAGTCGACGAGGTACTGCCAGCCGCGACCTCGTCGACGGGAGTCCACGATGCGTCGAACGGTGAAGGCTGGATGACCATCGACCTCCAGGGCGGGTGGTGGGGAGTCGGAAGGCGGGCACAGAGAACTCGAGACGACAGGTTTGACTTGGGACACGTGGAAGGTTGGGTGAATCCGGAGAGACTGAGGCAGTTGGAGACGGACTGATGACTCGGGAGATCTTGTAGGGACCTATGAATCTGGGCGAGAGTTTTCGAGACATCCCCTTAAGGGGAATGTCTCGAGTGGACAGCCATACCTCTTGGCCTTCTGTGTACTCGGGGGCGGGACGTCTCCTGGAGTCAGCGAAGCGTTTGTTGGTATCTGAAGATCGGTTGAGGGTGGTGATGGTTTCTCTCCAGATCTTCTGAGGAGCTGAGGCTGTCTGGAAGGCCGTTGGGAGTTTCCTAAGGGGAATGAGATGGCAGGCCTTTGAGAAACGGTCAACAATGGTGAAAATGGTGGACATACCTCGAGAAACGGGGAGGCCGGTGACAAAGTCAATAGCAATGCGGGACCAATGGCGCGAGGGAACTGGAAGCGGCTGAAGCAGGCCAGATGGAGGTTGATGTGAGGCTTTATTACGGGCACAAGTGGAGCAAGCCAACACATACTCCTTGACATCTCTATGGAGGGTGGGCCACCAGAAGCGTCTTGAGATCAAGGCAATAGTTCTACTGACTCCCGGATGAGCAGAAAACTTGGCAGCTTGCATCCATTGGATGAGACGGGACCTGACGGAAGATGGCACATAGGATCGGTTAGTGGGACCGTTACCTGGGTCGGGTTCAGTAGCCAGGGCGGAGTTGATAAGGTCAGTGATTTCCCAGTTTACCACTCCCACAGTGCAGGAAGCCGGGAGGACTGGTTCAGGCGTCTCGGGATGATCGACGGAGTAAAGACGAGAGAGAGAATCGGGTTTGACATTTTTGGATCCAGGTCTGTAGGAGATGATGAGATTAAAACGTGAGAAGAAGATGGACCACCTGGATTGACGAGGATTGGCTTGCTTGGTTGACTGGATGTAAGCCAGGTTCTTGTGGTCAGTCCATACTAGAACCAGATGCTCAGCTCCCACCAGCCAATGTCTCCATTCCTCCAACGCCAGTTTGATGGCCAACAGCTCTCGGTCTCCCACATCGTAATTCTTCACAGCGGAAGAAAGTCTACGGGAGAAGAATGCACAGGGGTGGATTTTCTGATACGAAAGTTTCTGGGATAGGACTGCTCCAACTCCAGAATCTGAAGCGTCCACCTCGAGAATAAATTGTTTAGCCGGGTCAGGCTGCATTAGCACAGGTGCTCTGGAAAATAAAGATTTCAGTTTATCAAACGCAGCTTGCGCCTCAGGGGTCCACTGAAAAGTGCGTTTGACAGAGGTCAGAGAAGTTAATGGAAGGGCGGTTTGGCTATAGTTCCTGATGAAACGACGATAAAAGTTTGCAAAAACCAGAAATCTCTGTAGCTGTTTGCGGTTCTCTGGAACTGGCCAATCTAACACTGCCTTTATCTTGTCCTCAGATGGTTTTACCTGGCCGCCCTCGAGCACAAACCCCAAAAAGGTGACTGAAGACTGGTGAAATTCGCACTTCTCTGCCTTTACGAACAGCTTGTTCTCCAGCAGTCTCTGTAAAACAAGGCGGACATGTTTCTTATGTTCGGCGAGATTCCTAGAGTAAATGAGTATGTCATCAATATAGACGAAAACAAACACATTTAAAAAGTCTCTGAGA